ACACGAACACCTTCATAAATCAGGGAGCGGGGAACAAAGCTCTGAGAAACTTGTGCGGAAAAGAACCCGTTTGCACTTTTGTTCGGTGCAGACAGATATCCTATTTGTCAGCCCGCAAAACATGCACAGTCACACCGCTTTGCAGTATATACTGTGAAGCACTTTGAGACGTCCTAATGATGTGATATCAAATGATAACACAAGGATTATCATCCTGCGCTTTCCCATTTTGAATGGCTGTCAGTTCACTAAATGGATCTCTTGTTGTCATCGTGTTGAAATGCCTCAAAGCACTTCACAAGTAATTATTGTTTAACTGCAGTGACTGTTTTATTAAACATACATGATTGCTTGCTTTCACTATTTTCTACCGAACTATTTCTTCAGGCAACTGATGTCAGGAAGCAGCAAAAGGAGAAACAGGGAGGGCAAATGGGACATGTCAGCCAATACTTGTTCCTCTTGTGCACTCTCTGTCACCTATTTATGTCTGTTAGGTCAGGGTCTCGAGGGATATGGAGCGAAGGTGGGTATTTGGAGTTGAGGTACAGATTAACCTTGATCTAATAGAATGGGGGAACAGGCTCGCGGGGCTGAATGACTGCCTCCTATATTCCCAATTCAGAGTGGTATTTTATGCTCAAACTCCTACTAGTCCCTGTTTTAAGGTGTACATGAAAAGCGCCAACAGCGAAGACATTTGATGGGTAAGAATTCATATTATGAATGAGGCTGACCCAATAGCTCTTGAATAGTTAGTTATCGATTGGCTGTTCGCTTTACAGTATACTCTGTGAAACGTTTTGAGACGTCTCGAGGAAGTGATAAGGCTCTTTAGGCACATGCAATGCAAGGATTATCATTATACTATGATTATCACATGGCGCTATCAGTGTACGGGGCGGCTGATGCTCATCAGTTTATGTCAGGGCCTCTCAGAGTTTGATCGGAACATTGGCTTCAGTGCGTTCCCCTCGGGGGTCGTGTGATCTTGAAATATAATCTGTGCCGCTGATCGAGTCACAGAGTTGGAAGAGGTTTGTTTGTTGAGAACAAATCAATGTGAAACCATTGTTCCATTTGGAGTTCTTCCAATGTAATGAACTCAACTGTCTCATTAAGTTTCCATGAATGAACTCGCAGTCAAGGCTGATACTCCATTGCTGCACTGGGGGGTGTGGGGGTGTGGGGGGCAGAGCTGCATTGTCCCAGTGTCATCTATTGGATAAACCCAGGTCCTGTCTGGCCGTTTGGACGTACATTGAAATATCCCACGTTGCTATTGGAAAAGAGAGTTTTTCCTGGTCAACAATCTCCCAGAAAAATATTAATCATTCACTTCACGGCTGTTTGTGAGGCATTGCTGATAGGCTGCTAGTTTGACCTACAAAATACCCAGTCACTACACTTTACAGTAAAATCCTGTGAAGCGCTTTGAGACGTCTCGACAACGTGATAAGGCGTTGTATCAAATTCAACGATCATTATTATACTTAATGCTTGAATTTGTGTTTTCAAAATAGACTGATATTTGTGTATATATATTTTTGTTTTCATATTAATTTGTCAGATTTGAAAGCAAAACCTGGTCCCAGGGATGCAAAGAGTTCTGTTTCTTTCCAGGATCCATCTGAGACAACGTGACAGAGAATTGCAGAGGTTTTCTTTCCTGAGATCAGAGGCAGAATTAATATCCATAGATATCCGGCCCCTAAAACTACATCATATTAAAAAATAATGTTCACTAACATAAGACGCAGATAAACTCTTGCCATTGTTTTTACTGGTTTATTTACCGATGGGCTGGTTTGGAATCGCTTGCATAATAACTAGTAATTATAAAAATAGCTCATTTACATCATTAGAAACATCTCTGAAAAGGGAAAAAAAATGTAAATGGATGTGTGTGGGGGGTGGGGGGGGGGGAGAGGAGGCAAGAATTATTTTCTCTGCTGTAAATTTCCAAGGTGTGAGTTTGAGTCCTGATGATTGTAAGGCGGTGTGAGGTGGCTCAGAAAAACACAGTTAAGTCTATGTATATATACTGTATATATAATATAATATACGGCAGATCAAACGCAGGTCTTTGCTTCCCGGATCTCTCCCTCTTCCACTCACAGGCACTTGCCTTTTGCGCCACTTCATAGTTCAAACATCCCACGTTTAATTGACTGTGACATCCCAGAGGCTGTTTGTCTCTGATGAGGATTGGGGGGAGAGGCAGTGAAGTCTTATGTGTGTGTCTGAATGTGGGGGGAGAGACAGTGTGGGTGTCTTGGGGGTGGGGGGGGGGGGGGAACAGGGACAGAGAGTATGTGTGGGGTGTGGGTGTGTGGGGACAGAAAGAATATGTGCATCATCTCCAATTTCTGTAACGTAAATGTGTAGTTGACCAGAGGTTCAGTTTCCTGGGGGTGAAACCCACCTGTTGATTATTGGGGTGTTTTTTTTAACAGGAGACATTTACAAAGGGGAAGGAGGGGTGGGGGGGAGGGGGGAATGGGGGGGGAGGAAGAAAATGTGATTGTTTTGGGGGAAAACGGCACAGATCTGTAACTAAAAGTATTAAAACCACACTCGCGTTTCCAATTAAACAGATTTCCGTTAAAAATGCATAAACACACAGTCGATGCAATTTTTTTGGGGGAATCTACCATTTAACATCATTTATAGCAATATATAAAAAAATGCATCAGAGCTGAGTGTGTGTTGGGGGGGTGTTGCTGTGTGTGTGTGTTGGGGGGGTGTTGCTGTGTGTGTGTGTGTGTTGGGGGGGGTGTATGTTGGGGGGGGGTGTTGCTGTGTGTGTGTGTTGGGGGGGTGTTGCTGTGTGTGTGTGTTGGGGGGGTGTTGCTGTGTGTGTGTGTGTGTGTTGGGGGGGGGGTGTTGCTGTGTGTGTGTGTGTGTTGGGGGGTGTTGCTGTGTGTGTGTGTTGGGGGGGTTGCTGTGTGTGTGGGTGTGTGTTGGTGGGGGGGTGTTGTCTGTGTGTGTGTGTGTTGGGGGGGGTGTTGCTGTGTGTGTTGGGGGGTGTATGTTGGGGGGTGTTGCTGTGTGTGTTGGGGGGTGTATGTTGGGGGGGGGGGTGTTGCTGTGTGTGTGTGTGTGTGTGTTGGGGGGGGTGTATGTTGGGAGGGGGGGTGTTGCTGTGTGTGTGTGTTGGGGGGGTGTTGCTGTGTGTGTGTGCGTGTGTTGGGGGGGTGTATGTTGGGGGGGGGTGTTGCTGTGTGTGTGTGTGTTGGGGGGTGTTGCTGTGTGTGTTGGGGGGTGTATGTTGGGGGGTGTTGCTGTGTGTGTTGGGGGGTGTATGTTGGGGGGGGGGGTGTGTGTGTGTGTTGGGGGGGGTGTGTGTGTGGGGGGTGTATGTTGGGGGGGGGGTGTTGCTGTGGGGGTGTGTGTTGGGGGGGTGTATGTTGGGGGGGGGGGGTGTTGCTGTGTGTGTGTTGGGGGGTGTATGTTGGGGGGGGGTGTTGCTGTGTGTGTGTGTTGGGGGGTGTTGGGGGGGGGTGTTGCTGTGTGTGTGTGTATGTTGGGGGGTGTATGTTGGGGGGGGGGTGTTGGTGTGTGTGTGTTGGGGGGTGTATGTTGGGGGGGGGTGGTGTGTGTTGGGGGGTGTATGTTGGGGGGGGGGTGTTGCTGTGTGTGTGTGTTGGGGGGGGTGTATGTTGGGGGGGGGGTGTTGCTGTGTGGTGTGTTGGGGGGGTGTATGTTGGGGGGTGTATGTTGGGGGGGGGTGTTGCTGTGTGTGTGTGTGTGTATGTTGGGGGGTGTTGTGTGTTGTTGGGGGGTGTATGTTGGGGGGGGGGTGTTGCTGTGTGTGTGTGTGTGTGTTGGGGGGTGTATGTTGGGGGTGTATGTGGGGGGGGGTGTTGCTGTGTGTGTGTGTTGGGGGGTGTATGTTGGGGGGGGTGTTGGTGTGTCTGTGTTGCAGGACACGCCTGGCTTTGTCTGTCTTGTAATTGACACAACAGAGAGAGAGAAGGAAGGAGGGAGTGGGTGAGTGGCTTCTGGAACAGTAGAGAGGGAGAGAGAGAGAAGGAAGGGAGAAGGAGAGATAGAAGGAAGGAGGGAAGGAGAGAGAAGGAAGGAAGGAGAGAGAAGGAAGGAGGGAGAGAGAGAAGGAAGGAAGGAGGGAGGGAGAGGAGGGAGGGAGGGAGTGGGTGAATTCTACATCACATCACACAGCTGATATTGGTCATAAAGGTGGAGTATTGTTCTCTTAGTGATTGGCTTCCGAGTATCACATGGACATTACTGTATATATATATATATATTTGAGGAGAGACTGAGATTAGTAAATTGGTTACTCTCAACGTTTGAAATTGACGCTGTGTTGAGAGGGAGAGAGACAGAGAGAGAGAGAGACAGAGAGAGAGAGAGACACAGAGAGAGAGAGACAGAGAGAGAGAGAGACAGAGGGAAAGAGAGAGATCAATCTATGTATTTATCTCTATATAAATATTTTATATAAATACTTCAACCAGGAACTGGAGAGAGAGAAACAGAGAGCGACAGAGAGAGACAGAGAGAAAGAAAACAGCTGATACCTTCCAGACAACGGTTCCTTTTTTTAAAAAATCATCTATATATATATATATATATATATATATATATATAAATCTCTTACATCGCACTGTCCTGTCAGCCTCGTGTGGATGTGGTGCGACCCTGAGATGGAAGTTGGGAGAATAAGGCGAAGAGATTGTGCGAAGAACGATTGAGAGAGTTTCCCCCTCTTCTGCTGCAAAGGCTCGACTTCTGGGGGTGGGGATTAACCCCCAACACACACACAAGGATGGACCCTGGACTTTCTCCTGTGGGCGGCTCAGGAGATCCACATGCGGGGAGAGACTTGTGAGGCTCTGTGCCCACCCCAACACCACCCACAGCCCCCCACCCACCATCAGCCCCCACCCACCCACCACCCACCAGCCCTGTGAGAGAGAGAGAGAGAGACTCCAACTGAGGTGGGAATTCTAACGCGTGGGTTTACTTGTTGCAGAATGCCTCGCTTCGCAGAAGAGGTGCCCACCCCTCGCTATGGGGGAGCTGGGGGTCCTGCGGGAGGGGGTCGGGGTGGCAGCCGACAGGGGGTCCCCCAAAGCAGCCAAAGGATGTACAAGCAGACGATGGCCCAGAGAGCCCGCACTATGGCTCTGTACAACCCCATCCCTGTCCGCCAGAGCTGCTTCACACTCAACAGATCACTTTTTATTTTCAGTGAAGATAATGTCATCAGGAAATACGCCAAAAGGATCACCGAATGGCCATATCCTTTATCTCTCTTTATTTACGTTGATATTGATATAAACACAGTGTAACAATGTATGTGTATTTACACACTATATATATGTGTATATAAACATTTGTGTGTTGTAACAGTAAGGATCCTGGCATTTGATCGAGCGCCTTATCGCGTCGTTCAGACGTCTCAAAGCGCTTCACAGGATTATAGTGTAAATCGTAGTGACTGTATTTTGTGGGTGAAATGCCTACTTAAATATATGCGCATATATATAGTCATTATTATCTGAATATTATTATATAAGGATTATTATTATATAAATATTATATAAGTATTATTGTCACACAATTAGTATGTAACAAATGTGTCGGCACCGATATATTAAATGTGAACCCAAGAGATCTGAATTGGACACAATAATAATAATAATCTTTGCATTTGACACAGCGCCTTATCGTTTCATTGAGACGTCTCAAAGCGCTTCAGGGAATATACTGTAAAGTGAGTTGACTGTATATTTTGTGGGCGAAACGCGGCAGCCAATTGCGCACAGCAGCGTCCCCACATACAGCCCTGGGTTGAAGCGACCAAATTATTATGATATTCTTCTTATTTTTGAAAGGGATTATTCCTTTCAAAAAGGGAACACATGATTTGGGAATGAATAAGTAGTGCTGAGCGGGTGTGTGTTTTGTTTTTTGCGGGTGTGGTGGTGGGAGTGGGGGAAGACTTGATGCCAGGGGTTTGTGGTTGATGTGCACAGCAGAGATGCCTGTGTTTGGCGCATCCATTCTCATGGGACTGAGACAGTTTATTGGTATGAATTCTAATTCCTTATTGATCCTGGGCAGTGTTGGCTTTCGTCCACAGGCGCCCGGGAGACGAGCGAATCAACACGTTTTATTTGTGACAGCTGTACCCATCACACCTTGTTTTTATATTACTGTCCCTCATCCCCATCAAAACCCACCTCTTCCCACCTGTTCCCAATATGTTTCTGACTCTGTCCGGGCGATGCGAGAAATAACCAGTCATTCACCAACAATCAAAATGCATTATTGGTGCTTTATTGGGAGGGAGAGAGAGAGAGAGAGAGAGAGATCTAGAGGCCATTAAACCCTATTCTAGCCATGTTCTCTGCAAACGAGGTTGTTTGCAAGTCTCTTGAGTATTTTGCATATTAAAAGGCGTTTTTTTTCCCCCCACTGGTGTGTGAAATCTTGCGTAGAAAACTGTTGCATCCTTCTCTTAACCCCCTTCTCATCTCCTGTGAGGTGTTATGTTGTCAGCCTTCTGATCTTTTGCTTATTTATATATATATATAGATATAGATAGATAAAAGAGAGATAGATATTTCTGTAAAGCTGTTTATATTAAAAAAAAGCCAGAGATTTTTTTTCGCCTAAGGTAAGAAAGTGCCCATGAGAACCAACCGCTCTCTGGCCATTGAGATATGCAGAGAGGCAGCCGGGTTTTTGTTTATTTTTTTTTACTTTCAAACCGTGGAAAACACAACTAACCCCCAAACACGCACGACCTGGGAATTGGTTGTAAAGGCAGCGAAGGGAAGGGGCCACGTTTTGCTCGATATAAAGGAGGCGAGATTTCATTCCCAAGTCAAAATCTGCAAACATTTGAGCAGAGAGATGGAGCTTCGATCGTTGCGAAAGTTTCTGAGCGATGCTGTTTGTGCTGTTTCTCACCTCCTTACAATGGCGCTGTTCACTGCACTCTGGTGCTGAAATATACATCCCCTGCCCTCCCTCCCTCCCTCCCTCCCTCCCTCACTCACTCACTCAGACAGGGCAAGTGAGGAGGAGGTGGTGGTTGTTGGTGGGGAAACCCGTATCGTTGAACGGGGGCGACCAGAACTGTGTCTCAACACAGAGAATGAGCCCAGCTAATGTATCTGCCCAGTGTATCTCCACGATGTACCTATTTTCCTCACCCTTTGGAACGCCATCCCCACCGTCCCTTCGCCTCGTTCCCTCCATTGGCTCCAAAAATATCTTTTTTTTGTGTTTGCCTTCGGTCACCCTCCTCCCCCCCCCCCCCCCCTCCCCGCCCTCCACTCCCTACTGATGCCAACCCCCAGCTCAGGTCCAGACACCCCCCGACTGTCCAGCGCCTCGGGACATCCTCCCGACGTGAAAGGTGCTGTGTAAATGTAATTTGTAGTTGTTACTGTGCGCTTGTGTGTGGCAGAGAGAGAGAGAGAGAGAGAGAGATAGGTGCCTGCACCCAGATATCAACAACATTATGTAGGAATTGTGTTTAGCATGCAACACTGGAAAAATGTAATGTAAAAGATCCCTAGGTTTGCTTTTATCTCTAATAATAGTAATAATAATCCTTGCATTTGATGTAGCGCCTGAGATGTCTTAAAGTGCTTCACAATCTAGGAAATAAAAACCTGTCAAGCAAAGGCAGAACCCATGTGCCAGCTGATGCTTTGTGGACAAATGCGGCTAAATTTAATAATAATAATGATAATAATAATAATAATAATCCTTGCATTTGATTCAGTGCCTTATCATGTCGTTGAGATACAAATCAGCGTTGACCTTTCAGGCAGGAGTGAATCAGGCTGACATGTTATGGTGGTTGGCCAGGCTCAGTTGGTGGCACTCTGTGTCAGATGGTTGTGGGGTTCACTTTCAGAGCTTTGAGCTCACACTCCCAGCACAGTGCTGAGGATCAGTGCTGCGCTGTCCCAGGAGCTGTCCTTTGGACGAAACGTTAAACCGAGGTGCCTTCTCAGTTTGGATCTTAAAAGCTCTCACAACACTACTCAAAGACCAGTGATCCTCCAGGTTAAAAATTCGCCATTCAGTCCATGGCTGTTTGTGGGACGTCGCTGTATGCAAATCGCCTGGCGCATTCGCCTAAAACATACAGGGTCACTACACTTTACAGTAAGTCCTGTGAAGCGCGTTGACATGAAAGGTGTTGCAAGGATTAATAATAATAATAATAATTAGCAGTAGCGGTAATTATCACATCCCACCTCATATTCTTCAGCCCACCACTTTTCTCCACTATTCCCATTCTCTGGTGAATGTGCAAAGAGGATGCAAATCATTATCTATCTGCAGCAATAACTGCTGCTCTGAATTATTGAGCTCAGAAAATTTCCAGATAATCGCACAGATAAAATTGATCATTCACTTCATGGCTGTTAGCTGTGTGCAAATTGGCTGTCGTGTTTACCTACCAATACACAGTCACTCTGCATTACAATCAATCTTGTGAAGCACTTTGAGATGTCATTCACGATGAGAAGAGTGCCATATCAAATTTAAGGATTGTTTGTTATTTCAATTCCGTCTTTGTTATCTTTGAAAATAGTCGTAAATTACAATCCAAAATCAGGTTAGGTGTGTGCGTGTGGGAGAGGGGGAAATAAGTTGATATTATTCTGAAAAATATCAAGTTCCTTAACCTTGTTTACTCCATTTGAATACATGATTTTAGCCACTATTATTGCGAACTGCATTGTATTAGCTTTGGAACAACACCTACCAGATGGAGACAAAACACCCATGTCAGAGCGATTGGTAAGTGCTATTTCCCTGTTATACCTTTCCCCAGTGATATTGCTATAGTATCAAACTAGTGATAAGGACTGCGTGATGCTTCCAGCTGAATGGAGACCCAGTACAAATTCAACTTGTGCAATTGTGTAAGTCATTTGATCTTTGCATCAATCCTGAATGAGATGACATCATTGTAGATGTCGAGCACCAAGCCAACATTTTCTTCTTTGATTCAAGTTGAATGAAGTAAACAGCGCAAAATTCCTTGGGGGGAGGGGGGTTTCTGTGGGGGGGGGAAATGACCCAACAATTTGCCAAATTCTGGATGCTCTGAAATGCCACATAGAGAGAGAAAGAGAGTAAATGTAAACCCGGGTGGAATTTCTATCCTCTATTTGCTCAACAAGCCATGACTGCAATCGTCTCGGAAAGTATTTGAAAGCTTTTAGCCTTTGCCTAATTGGTGTCCGTGAACCGAATTTACAGTCTCCTGACAACACGTGATGTCTATGTAGATAAACCTCCCCCAGCGCACAGTTAATGACTTATCGATTATTTTTCAGTAGCAAAGCCAAGGCAAGCCATTGCCATACATATTGCAATGGTCTGATTTGCTTTTTATTATCGAGAAAGATAACTCTGATCACAACCCAGTGAGTTATTTTCCGAGTATCTGTTTATTGGGCCCTGTAGTTAATTATCCTTTAATAATCTGTATATTAGTCAATGTTTGCATTTTATAGCAGAGACAATGGCGATGCTGGGAATTATAGGACTCGTGACGAAAAGACTTCGAAAGAGCTAGTCCGTCTCTAGTCCGCTTGGAATAGATCATGCAACTCCGTTTTTTTTAGTGCGATCTGTGAAGAGTGAACTTCATTAGCAAAGGAAAAAATGGGGGGAGAAATATCACCCTATTGATTTTAATGTAGCACACAAGATGGATGATGATTCTAAACTAGAAGTAATAGAGTACTCACCAAGGAGTGGGCATGATAACCTTATGTAATCCAGTGTTAATATTATAAGAGTAACCTCGCTGATTAATTGTTCCGGGATAAATGGCTAAAAGTTTTTTTTTCTAGCTTCTAAGAGCCAATTAAAAAATGAACTCCACAAAAATCTCGCAATTATTTGACACGTTTTCAAAGTGAAACTCAGAGCCATTTCACTCAAAGTATGTTTGTGTTTCAGGTGTAAAGTTTCTTGTCACAGAGTCATGTCATGTCCCAAACTATACACTGTATCCCCGAGATACAATTTCCTAACAGAAATCCATCTAATTTGTTCTTGAAAGAATTGCCATTTTCTGCCAGTGAAGTTGGATTGGGAAGTTATCTATTCGGATGGAATGTGTGGAATTTCTATGTCTCAGACTTTCTCATGTTTTGCTCTTTCAGGACGACACGGAACCTTATTTCATTGGGATATTTTGCTTCGAAGCCGGCATCAAAATCATTGCTCTGGGATTCGCTTTTCACAAAGGTTCCTACCTCCGGAATGGCTGGAACGTGATGGATTTTGTGGTGGTGTTGACGGGGTAAGCTGCCCAAAAGTCTCGTTTTGACACAGCGCATTATGTAGTCGGAAGAATGAAACCCGCGGCATTTGTGGGGCCGCAAGTCATTGTCGCTACATTAATGGTCTGACATCTCTTTGTGAACTCGCTCAGGGTACCTGCTTAATATTGATGACTCCTATTCTTGCGGAGTGGAGTGGAAAGGTGAGTCTGAGCACCAAACCTTTAGGTTCCCTGATCAGCCCTCACGTAAGGCTTACTCTGGAGAATGTGGAAGCGTAGAATCTTGTGTTATATTGTGTAAGCGAAACCGTGCTCCACATTGTCAGTAAAGACAGACATTGTAGCTTTAGCGCTTAGTGTTTCGGACCAGCTATTGTTTGCGGTTAGGCTCTTGCACAAAAGTGCATCGTTTGGCCGGTCAGAATACGTGAGAAAGATTCTCACATCTGGGGAAAGTCAGAAACGTCTTTCTGTGTTGACGTTGGCCACCAATGGGGTTTCCCATTAAAATCTCTTGCCACCAAAGGCCCTGTGCTGTGCATCTTCTGGCTCACCAGAATTATTTCCCCAACAATATAAGTGGTGCAGAGAAGCCTCGTCAAACTGTGAAAGCGATGTGTGGTGAGGCAATTTGTATTGTCACAAAAATTAGAGGGAGTTGGTTCTTATCTTGGTTGGCTCTGGAATATCAATGTCTAAATCCTTGACTGTAATTTGTTGTTGTGGTTGTTGCATGTCTGGCACTCTGATAATCCTCGTTTTAACTTTCTGTGATTGAGCACTGAAGCGTTGCTTCACTTCAGTTCACGTTAGCTACACCCAAACTCCTGAGATATAAACAAAATGCAAAACACTGCAGAGGCTGGAAATCTCAAGAAAAAAACAGAAGTCACTGGGAACACTCATCGTGAGATGCTGCCTGACCTGCTGAGTGTTCCCAGCGACTTCTGTTTTTGTTTCCTGAGTTATAAACTTGGGTTTGCTGTTTGATTCGGTATATCATCTTACTTTGTAGTTCACATCGCGGGAGCATAGACGCGAGTTGAGATTGAGGACACGTAGTCGGCAGTAAAAACAGCCCCAAATTCTTAGCCGATAAAGACTGTTGAATCTTAAAAATTTACGAGTGTGCAGACTGCGGAAAATTGTGAAATTGAGTCTCAATTTGGAAGCTGCATGTGTGTGTGGATAACTGGCTTCCAGCTCTCTCCTTCCCCTCTCACCATCCCATCCCCCCCCCCCCCCCCCCGCCCACCCCCTCAACTTCTCAATATCCCCTCTCTCCCTTACTTGGGCCTCCAATGTCTTTGTAAAATGCCCTGAGATGTTCTCCCACAGAGAGACAGACCTCTATCAGGGCCAGTTGTTGTTGCTGGACTTTGCTCAGTATCTCTTAGCCTGTGTAAACGTGCTGACTGGGGACATTGGGTTGTGAGGATGAAACCCTGAGCTAATGATATATGGCACCCAAAAGACCTGAACAATGACATCAGAATAGAAATGTGGACTTGCTGACACAGCGAAAGAGATGTTTGGCCTGCGACATCTGTGCCGTTGCCGTAACAAGTGATTTTTATCTGTAGGATTGTTGGCCAGGAGACGAGGGAGAAACTCCCTTCTCTCCAAACAGGAAAGGGAAAGCGTGACATCTGATCTGAAGCTCGGCATCTCTGCCAATTAAATGTCCACCTTACTGCTGGACTGGACATTACAGGTCAGCCTAGACTGAGAGCTTGAACCAGCTCTGACCCAAATGGAGAGGGTGTTACCAACTGAGCCAAGCTTTCAATCTCATTGTAGAAACAGGTGTTGTATTTAATCATAATAATAATAATAGTAATCCTGGCATTTGATACAGTGCCTTATCACGTCTTCGAGACGTCTCAAAGCGCTTCACAGGATACACTGTAAAGTGAATTGATAGTGTATTTTTGGGTGAAACGCAGCAGCCAATAGCAATGTCTCACAAACAGTAGTGATTGAAGTGATCAATTTATTATTAGTTTTTTTTTAAAGTAATTATTAACCCCGGAAAAGCGATCTGCCAATGGACTAAGAACTGGATTCCTACTGACTGCTAGGTAAACAGAGGTGTGTGGAGTAAGGAAACTTGCCCAATATTTTGCCCTGCCGGGAATCAAACCCAGGTCTCTCACCTGCGAGGCGAGTGCTCTAACCACTGAGCTACAGGACTCCACAATAATAGTAATCAATAATAATCGTTTAACTGTGTGAAATGCATTTCCTCTGAAGCTTTTTCCGACTTGATCGAATCTTTCAGGGACGATTTTCTGAGCCAAGCAGTGGTGACAGACATAATCTATCAGGATCCAGTGTTAGGACACGTTAATGGGGAAAATAAAATTAGATTTTTATCCTTCAGACAAAGATCAATATCTTATTGAATGATCTTGCAACGTCTAATGGACCTAGGCTGACATTTGCTTTCTTGTTACGAAAAGCATTCTTTCACCCACAATATACAGTCAATTCACTTTACAGTGTATCCCGTGAAGCACTTTGAGACGTCTCGAACCCGTGATAAGGCGCTATGTCAAATGCAAGGATTATTATTATTATTGTACTATCTTCCCAATCTTTGTAGACCTTGTTCTGCATTATTCCCAAGGTTAGTTGCTATCCACAGCTTACGAAAGAAATATTATGACAGCATCCATGTGTTCGTGAACACTGACTTGCTCATGTTTTAGGAATTGTCAATCAGAAAGTCAAGCCATGTCCTCAACAGAAATCGTTTCTATCTGGAAATAGAATATCTGAAATATTAATAAATAATAATCCTTGCATTTGGTTAACCAGCTTTAACATGTTGTCGAGATGTCTCAAAGCGCTTCACAGGATATACTGTAAAGTGTAGTGACTGCGTATTTTGTGGTTGAACACAATCAATCTGTCATAACAACCTCCGACAAACAGCCACAAGGTGAATGACCAATTTTAGAATGATAATAATAATATAATAATAATAATCCTTGCATTTGATATAGCGCTTTTCACGTCGGGAGGACGTCCCAAAGCGCTTCACAGAACACACTGTAAAGTGAATTGACTGTATATTTGTGGGCGAACGCGGCAGCCAATTGCGCACAGCAATGTCCCACAAACAGTCGTAGATTGAAAATGACCAATTTTTTTTTAATTATTGTTTTTAGTTTTTGGAGGGATTATTATTAGGTGTGTGGAGTAAGGAAACTTGCCCAAGGTTTCGCCCTCTGCCTGGAATTGAACTCAGGTCTCTCACTTGCAAAGCGAGTGCTCTAACCACTGAGCTACAGGACTCTACGCTACAGGACTGTTTGTTTGTGCGTGGTGGTGCACATTGGCTGCTACAAACACACAGCAGCTACATTTGACAGTAATTCCCTGTCAAATGCAGGAATTATAATTTTTCATGATTTACTTACTCGCTGTGTAGGTTGCTTTCGATATTCTGTGCATCCTTTAACATACCTTGTCACGGCTGGTTAACCAAATACGCTACGGCACTTCAACAACAACTGGCATTTATGTAGTGCCTCTCACGCAGGGTAGTGTCCCAGAGCGCTTGAAACGCTGGGTGCTGGACAGTCATTTGTTACTTGAATATCTTGGGATATTTTTTTAACAGATTGTCACTGGGGTTTAATAAGTGCCCTCAAGCCACCAAACCCTTGCTTCAATCTTATCTCAAATTATCTTACGATTTACAGCCTTGTTTACCACTGAAGTTGCACAGGTTTAAAGCTCGAGACCTGAAATTGACAGCAATGTTGAAATTGAAAATAAGATCTTGAATAAATCGCGGCCCTTTCCAAACTCATCCTGGGGAGAAAGCTACTGCCACAAGGACATTTTGCGATGTCGGGGATGAATTCTGAGTGTGGAATTCATACAATTCCGCTGGTAAACTGCTTCACAACTGTTGCAGAACTTGCACAGTGAGCAAATTGACTACCGCGTTTGCCTGCAAAGACACAGTGCAGTTACTACACTTTACTTCGTCAACTCTGAGAATCCAATTGTAGCTGTTTGGACGTGGTAAAGGCATTTGATCAAATGCAAGGATTTCTCCAGGAATATTGTCGACAGTGCTCGCAAGGTAGGTATTGAAGTTTTGGGGAAATCTAAGTGAAATATTATTTTACCAGCGGATTTAAGTGATAATACACCTGATTCACTTGGTTGCAAACCACACAGGTACCAAATGAGAAGAGACTCCATTCAATCCTTGTTAAGAGCCAGGCAATATGGTCTACAGTAGACCATCTTGAGTGCAAACTAATTGAGTATGTAAGGTATTGAGAGGTTTGCTTTGTCACAGAGATGGGATCGGCCTAATTGACTTTGAAGATCAATATGGCATATATTTGCGAGGTAATTTGCCCCCGTGTTTGCATTTGTGAGAAAATGACTGGCTCCCTGCCAACATTAAGAGCTGCCAATGGAGACAGGGAGGCTGCCAACGCATCACAGGCCACACTGAGGCACCAAGATGTAGTTTGCAGGATGATCTATCCATCCATCGCTGCACACGCTGTGGTTTACAAGAGCACGAGACTGGGAGCTACAGGAGAACAAGGCGAGGCATAGAGTCAAATGCAAACGTCACTCTGTTACATCGATTTTGAGAGTGAAATGTTCACTCCGTTACCTCGTGAGCTTGTTCCACGTCCATCATAATTCATTCAACCCAATTCATGAATTTATTCCTTTTGGGGAAGAGTCTTTGATAATAACAGCAGTGGGAGGGAGGGAGGGATGGAGGGATGATGTGATCTATCTGTGGCTTTTAACCTCTAGAGAGTTAAAAGTAGTTGGATTGTAAGATAATGGATAGACAGATAGATTATAATTTGGTCACTCAATCCACGACTGTTTGTGGGACGCTGCTGTGCGCAATTGGCTGCCGAGTTTCTCCCACAAAATATACAGTCAATTCACTTTACAGTGTATCCTATGAAGCACTTTGAGACGTCTCGAAGACGTGATAAGGCGCTGTGTCAAATGCCAGGATTAGT